TCTCTCTCTCTCTCTCTCTTTTCTTTTTTAAATTAGTCTTTTGTCTGGACACTTTCCCATGGTGTATACTTTGAGCTAACCTAAAGGGAGTTGATTTTTCTGTAAGTTTTCCATCTCTGTGTGTTTAAACCTCTGAAGTACAGTAGATGTGAGAGAGGGATGTTTAACACAATAATATTATTCTAGACATCAGTAAAATCTCTAAGTATCCTCTCAGGTAGTCTGTGAGTATTACATGCTGTTACTGAGGAGACCTTTTTTGCAGAGTTCTCAGATGCGAATGCCAAGTTCTACTGCCGGATTTATTATGCTGGCGAGTTTCACAAGATGCGTGAAGTGATACTGGGGAGCAGCGAAGAGGACTTCATCCGATCCCTCTCTCACTCTATGCCCTGGCAGGCACGAGGTGGCAAATCTGGGGCTGCGTTCTACGTGACTGAGGGTAAATGCAGCATCTTCCCTCTTTGTAATTGGAGGGTATTATTTAGGGGGGGTGGTGGTGGTTAGTGTGTCATTTAATCTCCAGTTACCTCTAGCCAGAGGGTTGCTGACTGTGAAGTGGCCACTCAGAATGGAAAGCTAAGTGGATTGTTCTAGGTATTCAGTATTGGATTATTTGTCTCTTTGTATGTGCAGGAGAAAAAAAATGTAGTGGTGTTTTTCAGTAGTAGCAGATAGGTTGGCCAGTTGAGCAGAAGGGTTGTACTCTTCTTAGGTAGGCTTCAGAAAACAAAAACTTGAGTATAATTCAAGGAAAACTGGTTATTAAAGACAGTGTTTCTTACAATCCCACATGCTATAGTTGAATTATAGGATTTTTTTTTTTTTTTAAACTGTGGCTGATGCTAGGCACCTACTTAAAACAAGTCTTGAGTGGAAGGGACTGTAGCCTGTTTCTGTTGTCTGTATGAGAAGCCTATATAGCTGAGGTAAATATAATTTAGGTAATATCTTCTCCCTGATTTGTTAGAAGGCTGAAATCCAGAAAGGCTGAAGTTTTGGAATTCAGAATATATGATGTAAAAAAGTTTCTAGAAATGAGCTGCTGTAGCTAAGGATTTAAGAGAATTCTAGTACTGTAATTTTTCAGACCACTTCAGCTGTGTGGCAGTCCTAAAGAACTTGCAAAGAATACATCATTTACTGTGTGTAACTCTGTTGCCTCTGTCTGATGTTAAAACAGATGATAGATTCATCTTGAAGCAGATGCCTCGTCTGGAAGTCCAGTCATTCCTCGACTTTGCTCCACACTACTTCACTTACATCATTAATGCAGTTCAGCAGAAGGTATAAAAACAAAAACAAAAGCTTTTTATTTTAGGCAGTCTTCTGTATTTTAGAAACTAGTAACAGTATCCATTACCCCCCTTCATTGAAGTAAAATAAAATGGTGGAGGGGTACAAGTTGTACTAATAATGTGTTTTTAAGATACGTGAGAATTTTGCTAGATCTTCTAAGCTGTAATACACAGTTGGACAGAACAGTGGTGCCTCTAGTATTTGATTGCTGATTGCCTGTACATGGAGATCTTACTCCATGTCTTCTCTTCATCAGAAGCCCACAGCATTGGCCAAAATCCTTGGGGTATATCGAATTGGATACAAGAACTCTCAAAACAACACTGAAAAGAAGCTGGATCTTCTTGTCATGGAAAACCTTTTCTACGGCAGGAAAATGGCTCAGGTAAGGGCCAAGTGTTCTGTTCCCTTGCAGTACAGCTCTGAGAGCAAGAGAAGGGTTACCAATAGCTGTCTAGGTAACATAACTTTGCATGTGCTGTCTTTATCTAGCACTGCTCAAAGGTGACAGTATGTACCTGTTTCGTTGTTATGTGATGCCCATATTGGCTAGTTCAGACAGCTGTAGTGCAGATTTCAGTTCTTAGAAGTCTTATTTGTCTGTGCATCTCTAGTGTCTGAGAGAAAGCATTGCCAACCTAATTAAAAAAATGTGAAACCTTTTTGCAAAACTTTTAGAAGAACTGACTGGGATTACAAACTCATTTGTTTAGGAGAGCCTCACTGACAAATTGTGAGCTACTGTGTAGTGGAGAGGGAACTAATAATATTTTGAACCTGCTGTTCTCTCTCTGAACCACTTCATGTGTGGAACAAGATTTTGAGTTCAGCCTTGCTTGTAGTAAAGGAAAAATAACCTTTATGAGGTAATAGAATGAAGACCTTAAAATGACTGAGGGAAAATTCTCTTCAAATATAGAAGAAGTTGATACTGAAAAGGAAGTTCAAACAAATGTCACTTCCAAAGCAAGATAATATCAGTTCTTTCCATCTTCCCCTCCCAATGCCTGACCTCAAACAGGGGATGTTTGTGGGAGGAAGTGAACTGAGGGAATTTTAGATAGAAGTAGAGGATGATGTGTGAGTTTTCTTGTTTGTTGTTGCTTTGGTTTGGTTTTTGTGTGTGTCTGTTTTTCAAATCAGGAGGTGCACAGGCACTAGAACAGAGACCCAAAGGGACTGTGGACTCTATCCATGAAGTTAGTCAAATCTTGACTGGTCAGGACTTGAACAACCTTCTCTAACAGGACCTGCTTCTAGCAGGGTATTGGACTGGATACCTCCAGACATCCTTTCTCTTGCCTTGCCAATAGATGTTAAACAGTACTTCATGCAAGACCCACTTCCCTTTTCAGTGGCTTTCCTTTTGTGTCAGCATTTGAGTCTAGAAGCTGGGTGCAAAACTGAATTTACCCATACAATATAAAAATAGGGGAACCCTTTTCCCCTTAAATTAAGCTACCTATTAATTAAATACCTTGCCTAAAATTTTTGAATTGAGGTGGCAGAGCTTTTGTGTATACTTAAATGTTACTCTCAGGAAATTTTTAATTTTTCTAGTATGAAAATGTTTTTTTGTTGACTGTCTTCCTCTTGTGGAGAAGAAAAGAGTTGCCCTGCCCTGCTGCCTTTTCAAACACTGCAGTTAGGTATGTTGAAGTCTTTAACCTTGCAGAACAATGGAACAAATCTGCTCTTCTCCATTTGCAGGTTTTTGACCTGAAGGGCTCTCTGCGGAATAGAAATGTTAAAACAGACACAGGCAAGGAAAGCTGTGATGTAGTGCTGCTGGATGAGAACCTTCTGAAGATGGTCCGGGACAATCCGTTGTACATCCGTTCCCATTGCAAGGCTGTGCTGAGAGCTTCCATACACAGTGATTCCCAGTTCCTCTCCAGCCACCTCATCATCGATTATTCCTTGCTGGTGGGTCGTGATGATACCAACAACGAGCTGGTTGTTGGGATCATTGGTAGGTTGTCTCTTTTGTATTTTCTTGCTTTCAGCTGGTGGGACTGCTTTCTTCTGGTTTAGGTGTTTATGGTACTCGCCACCACAGAGATGTGTGTCAGAAAAGCTTGTCTTCTCCCTGATGGAATACTGCCCTCACCTCTCATGAATGTTCAAAGTGGAGGCAGGAAGTCTTCTGTCCAGCTCTTGTATGGGCTTGTGTTAGCATTTGCATTACTAAGAATATGTGCAGGAGGCCTCACAGGTCATGAAAAAGCAGTCAAGTTGGTATTTAACCTACACTTTGACTCCAGTTGAAGTAGGGAAGGTTATTTGTATACTTCTATGTGGTGTTTAAAGTTAAATTCAGTAATGTTTACATAGTAATTTAAAATCTAACTTGTGTGGAGGAGTTCTATGGGGAAAAATATTGATAGGGATGGAAGAGGGATGTTAAACATCATGGGATCTCTTGTGATCATGTAGCCTGACCTGGATAATATAGGTGGCAGTGCCATAATTACCACATTCTCTGATATGTGACTGGAAAGTAGAACCTTATCTTTAGACAGGCAAACTTGTATTGTGCAAAAGACTTAAAGGTGAAGCCATTTTGCATGATGTGGAAGTGACTCTTGGAAATGAGAGGCACTTGAAACCTAGTTTAGAAATACTTCCAGATGAGATCTCAAGCTAGGAGGTCTGGATTACTCTTTTTCTGATAAAGCTTGAAAGCCACTTGAGTAACACTTCTAGTTGAGAATTGAAGTCCCAGCTACAAAGAACTGCAAATTGTTACTACTTTCAAGTTTTGTAGACTCTTGAGTATTTGGGTAAATGGATGAGATTCTGCTCCTTCTGTATGTGTGGCTATTAAGGGTATATTTTATGATGTTTAAAGCTAACAGTTCCTCAGTACTTCAGAAAATGGGACAACGTTCTTCTGGCTATGAAAGCCTACTGCTTTCTTGCCCTTTTTGAGGATAAATAAATACATTTTAGAACAGTGTTACTTGGGTTATAACAGATATGACATGTTTGTGTGTAGATTATTAATATTTTTTCAATTTCAACAGACTATATTCGCACTTTTACCTGGGACAAAAAGCTTGAAATGGTGGTGAAGTCCACTGGCATCTTGGGAGGACAAGGTTAGTCCAGAATGAAAGCAAAACTTTTCATTACGTTTCCTCATTAACTGGAAGCTTCCAATAACTGTGCTAATAAAGCCACAACTTCTCTACCATGCAGATTTGCAACACTAGATTAAGTTGTCCAGAATGGGAGAAGGAATAACAAGTTTCAGAAAAATTAATACATTGATCTGCCTCCAACCAAAAGGTCACTACCTTTTAAATACTATAATTCTTGGAAATGGGGTAAAGATCATCTACTTATCAGACTGTTCTTTTTCTTAGTTACCAACTTCTCACATAGAAAGTTAGTCATCCATACAAAGATACTAGCAAAAAACCTTGCTGGCTGGTTTCAGAAGATATTTTCTGAGTCTTGAAAATCAGATATACTCTGAGCTGTTAGTGTGGAGTAATCATCATATGATGGACTACTGCCCATATTTTGAAGATCTGAGGAGTTCCCTTTGTGGAAGTGAGTCGAGTACCTTTTGTGCAGCATTGACTAGTGTTAGCCACGTGGTAATAGGAGAGCTTGAAAGAGAAGGGAAGGGGAACACTTGCTGTACCACTGCACAGTTGTCTGGAGAAGGTAAGAGTGTGCCTATGGGGTGAAATACTTCGTGGGAGTAATTTGCATCTCTGCTGGAAAACCTGAAGACCTGTAAACAGGAGAAGAGAAAGAAACAAACTGATCAGGGCTGATGTAAAAAAAAGTCTAGATGGTTCCTTCAACTTTGGGTATCTCAATTCAGTGTTAGGGGTCCAGACCTTGATCTGCCTTCTCTCCCAGATGTTTAAAATAACAATTAATTAAAAAAAAAAAAAAGGTAGCTGCAAATGCATGGTGGTTTCAAGACAGTTCTATGTACAGTATGCCTTTGTGATTATGCTGTCTGGTGTTGTCATCTCACATGACATCTGTCTGTACTGCATTATACTCTTTAGCCCATTTCTAACTGCTCTTGACTCTTATACATTAGGTAAGATGCCAACTGTGGTCTCCCCGGAACTGTACCGGACCAGGTTTTGTGAAGCTATGGACAAGTATTTCCTGATGGTGCCAGACCATTGGACAGGACTGGGCCTGAATTGCTAAGCTAAAGCCCATATTGGGAAAGCACAAGAGGACAGTGACATTATAGGCCACTCTCTTCCTGCAGTATGCAAGAGGATTGCAGTTCCATGTCTACACTGACCATGCGTGTCATGTTGTGAAGTGTGAAATCTGCTTGTTGCACTTTAATCCTCTCTTGGGGTCTGATAAGCGAACCAGCCTCACTAAGGATCTAAGCTGTAAGGTACCACTGAACAGCATTGATAAAAGACGTTTCCTCTGTCAGTAGGGAAGATGATGCTATCTCCGTGTAAGAGCACTGAAACAGATACTATCCAGTTTGTGATGGTGTAGAGGTATATGATCTCTGTATGTCTTGCACTGCCTATGTGGTGTTAAATATGAACAGTTCTTGTTTCTGTAGTGGGTGCATGGTAGCACAAATGTGAATTAAACCCTCCGCTGTGTGTATGTGGGTGGATGAGAGAAGAATGAAGTCAATTCCTGAGTTCTGCTATTGTGGCAGTGGTCTGTAGTCGACCTGTTTAAGATCCATGAATAACTTGTCCTGCTTATGCTCTATAACTTCAGTTTTTCCTGGGTTCTGTTAACAGTATTTTTTTTAAAGGCAGCTCCACAGTTAAAATGCCATATGACTACATCTTTTAAGTTACGTTACTGCAGTGCAACTCTCTTTATCTGTCATAATTTCATTTTAGCTGAATCCCATAAAAATGAGTAGTCAGCCATCAGCATAATGCAAACCCCAAAACATGTCCCTTCAATCCTAAATCTGAATGTTGCCCAAATCCCTGGAAATGGGTAACTAAAAAATATACCCTTGAATTTAACACAGCTTGATTAAGCATAGTTATAAAGCTGATTTACCTTTTCCTTAGCAGAAGGCACTAAGTTGCTAGACTAGATGAAGCATACTGTTGTAGATTGACAACTTTCTCCTTAATGAAACCATCATCCCTGGCAGATCACTTCAAATCCATTTCAGTTCCTCAGGACTTTCAAACAATGCATTTACCTCATGGTGAAACTTTGCCAGGAGAATATTTTTCTTGCATTCATGACATACTGATAAGAATGAGCATCCAGATCTCATCACACTGTGCAGTCCCAATGGAAAAACTGCCTCTTCAGCAGTATTAGATTTTTTTTTGGTGCCACTGAGATGAATGTAGTTGTCTTTTCCCATAAAAGAAAAACCTGAACTAACAGGTATCTTGTATGATAGAAAAGATGTGCAGAGATCTGTGAATCTCTGAGTTATGAGAATAAGCACTTCTTTCCATTTTTATTAATTTTTACCTGTTTTTGTAGGCGATGAGTTTACTTTTTAGCTTCATTATAATATAGGCCAGTAAATAAGAGGTTTTTTTATTAGTTTGAGAGGCAAGAATACTGTCCTTTGGCTTCTAGTGTCTAATGGAAGGACTTCAAACAAACATGGAGTCTGGGACAGTATGACTTTTTATGATTACTTGCTCATTCTGACCAGTTGCCTGGTAATGTCATCTTCACTGTAGCTCTGGATTGAAATGTGCATTTGGTTCACTCCTCCTGTTTTCAGTATTTTCTTCTGCAGTAGATGGTGGCAGCTCTTTTCAAGAGTTACAGCTGGGCAGCACTGAGAAAAGAAATGCCAGCAGTGAGAATTGAACGGTTGTCTCTAAAAACAACCAGTGCAGCTCAGGTCTAAGCTGCCAGGAGGCAACAGGCATTCATGTTGGAAGAAGTCTTTTCCCCACCCCATTGCAAAGGCCTACCGGAGGTTGAGCAAAGATGCTGACCTTGAAGAAACTGAAATGAAAGTATTTCACTTCTTCACATAATAATTGTTTCTGAGGGTGCAGTGTTGAAGGGTGCAGTGATGTGTGCTGTGGAAAGATGACACACTACTACTTGTTTCCTTTGGCCCAGAATACCTTTGCTCCAACACAGTGCATCAGGTACAGCTGACGACCTCTGGGACACATCTTGCCTCCTGTGTTGAAATGTACTCCTAGGATGGCTAGCTGTGTTTTGGGCCCTGTTTAATGAGGAACCAACTGGTCCATCAGCTCAATGCTATTCTGACTTCTGTGGCTTCTACCTTTTGTAGATTTTGTCCAATGATGTGAAAGAGCATACCATGCAGTGTGGAATCTGTTCCAGTATCAGTTAAAGTTTACATGTGTTCTTTCTCCTTCCCTTCCTAAAGTTTACAGGGAAAAAAACTTTACTTGCTTGATGTGCTAAGGTGCCCCACCAGCAGCTGGTTGTTATCTTCCACCTTTCTTAGTGTGTGGATTGGTTAATGAATATGGGCAGTGTCATGGCATCTGCACTAGGCTAATGTAGAGCTGTGATGTGCTACCCTTGACCTGTCACCAGTAGCCCTTACTCCAGTGACATGTGGCTGCTCTATACTGCTTGTTTTCCAGAGTCTCAAGCAACTGGCTCTAAAGCAACATGATCATCTGACTATAGCTGATGTTCCCCTGTACATGACAGCATAGGGCCCTCAGCACTGAAAAAGTGAGAGAACCTTCCACTGGCTAGCTTTTTTTTCAGCCTGTAAATGCAGAGCCAACACATGTGAATTGTGACCTTCTTGGGCTGTAGTTATAGCAGTTGGGAGAGATTTGCAGGAGTTATCTTGAGCAGGCATCAACAACTAACTTTGGGTCAGGATGTGGCTGATAGGTTAGTCCTGACCAGACTGGAAAAATAGTAAACTACTCATCATGGGTAACACAGTAGCTGCAGCAACATCTCTGGGTGCCGTGTGCTTCCATCCCAGCAAATCCCAGCAGTTGAACAGATCGCCTCAAACTTTTCAGAGTAAGAATTGTCCTGGCATTTCACTTGCTATGAAGCTGACTTTCTCAAAAGCAATACTTCATGCAGAAGAGATTTTTTGAGAGCTCCTTGTGGGGCTGTGTTAGGTCTGTGTCCCTGCAGCATGCCTAAGGTTGTCCTAGGGGAACAGCTTAGGTATTACATGAGGCCTTTGATTAGTGATTTTTTTTTTTTTAAAACACAGGTTTAGCATATGTGTGCGTAAGCAAATCCCAGTTGCAAACATTAAGATTGCATTTCTTCAGAGCTACACTGCTCTTTTTCTTCTTTTTTTTTTTTTTTTTTGAATCAGAGGCCTTGTGACATATGTCTACATCTTGTCCCAGTCAGAAGGGCTGACCTTGACTCATCATGTCAACAGCAGAATGCCTTGTAGTGGTCCAGTGATGGATTCTGTCCCCCAAAAGCACATGAGGAACTCTTGCTGGTTATGTAGCTCTGCTGGGGTCAGGGGAGTTACCTGTGGAGTGGACTCTCCTCTCCTCTGTGAGAATGACCAAAAACCAAATGAATCACTCACTAGCAGGTGGCCAGACTAATCATTATTCAAAGCACTTATGTACCATATTGTATGCATTTCTAATTACCTTGGTTCAACTGTATTTTATAAAACTGATGTACTAAACTATTTGAGAATAACTGCCTTGACTACTTCAAGAATCAAAGTGTAATGTATATAGATATAAATAAAGTGACTAAAATATACTTGAGTCTATTCTATGTGGTGGAGCAGTTAGGTCTCATGGCATCCCACTTTCTTGGTCAGAGGCTAAGCCCTCTACTTGCTCTGTTGGAGGCTGCCAGCTTTGCAGTGTAAGCATGCCTGTCATGTCTCTATACCTTGCAGCTTGTCTCCTCTGATGGAGCAGGACCCCTGAGCAGCTCTCCAGGTCATAGGCAGTAGACACCATAAGCCCAGTGTTCTTGAGTGTTTCCAAAGTCACATGGTTGTCATCCTACAAAAACATGCTTGTTCACCCAGCTTGTGGCAGTTAGAGGCCATTTCTCATTTTAACTCCTGCAGTAGCTTACAATAATACATGAAAGCAGAGTTGTTAGCAGCCAGCCAACTCATTCCCCTGCATTTTTTCTTGGGTGAGATCCTTTCCTAGTGGTGTGTATCATTTGTGGCACTACTTTCATTGCCTCTCCTTTTCTGTGATTATAGGTAGCTTCTCTGCTAGAGGTCTTGCTTGTAGGTCTCTGTAGATGAACTTGTCCCACTCTTTCTAAGCCCAGTCTGAAGGTTACCTAACTAGTCCTTAGTCCTTGCAGCCTTAGCAAGCTGTCTTCTAACTGTCTCCAGTTGTTTACTGCTATATTGAGTAAATAAGTTCTGGAAACATGAGAAATGTGCCAAGAATGCAGGAGCTGTGGTGTAAGGAGTCCTGAGAAGGAATAGAGCTTTGGTTGTGAGAGGTCCATTGCAGTCAATGCTTAGGACGATGGAACTGGCTACACATGTAAATATGCAAGACAAGTTGTAAAAATCTTACTGCCGTTCTGAAGGAAAGACGTCTAGGCTTAGCAATTACAGCCTCACCTTTGAAGTGCTGAAGATGACTTGTGTGGGGAAAACAGCAAGCATATAAAAGCAAGCACGTCAGTAGAAGAAGAATGTGAGAGAAAAGTATAAAACTGATTGATGCAGATTACTGTATTGGAAAGTTATTATTACAGAAGGATGTGTTTTAGCTGCCAGAAACAGAAGCTGCCTTCAGCTCTGAGGATTTTTGTGGTGCTTCTTCTATTAAGCTGACAAAGTGGAAGATGCACCAAACAACACTGCTGAAGTTAAAAATGAGACACACCCCTCCAAAAAAAAGGTAAGAGTGTGTCTGTAGCTGAAGTAGTAAAATACAGATAAATACTCCCTATCATTCCCTAGAAACCTTTGATTACCTGCACATCATTCTGAAATTGCAGTTTTGAGTGAAGTTTCCTGAAATTTCAGTTTTCAAAACAAAACTTCCCATTCACATCAAGAAAAGGTCCCATATATTGTTATTTGTGTTTGGCATAGGGTCAAAATGTTTTAAAAGTTTACTGCAGGAAGGAAGCCCTTTTTGCTTAAAAGGTAGGTGTGAGGAAAAAGACGCTGATTGCTGCATAGTTAGAGCAGCAGATCACAGATTTCCTCTTGCTTGTAATATGTAAGCTCCCCTGGGGTCTGCAGACCAGCTCCTAAATAATCACTGCCTCCTGCTGGCAGCCCAGTTTTACAGTTCATCTGGTGCAAAGGGCTGGCTATGTGCTTAAATTTACCTCATGAGATAAAGATTGTGAGAGAAAAATGTCTTAGTGGCAGTTCTGTATTGTTTTCTGGGTGTTTAAATGTGCCATGAATCCACCTCTGAAGAGATGGAAAAGAAAAGAATAAGATCATTCTTTATGTGGCTCCACAGTAGCCTATAGTATGCAGAACTTGGATCTACTTCTTCCTGTACATTTGAACTGCATTATGGAAAAACAATATTCTGCATTCTGTCATGTAAGACCTAGAAAGCAGAGAACCTCTTTAGGGCAGTTATTTCCCATTCCAGCTCAGTTGTATAGTAACTAACAGGACTAACTTGTTTTTAGTGTGCATCACATTCTTAAAAAACCTCCCTAACTTCTATTTGAATCTTGAAGAATATTTTTTGAAACACTGATGTTTAAATAAGCTAGACATTTTCTTACAAGATGCGTTGGCTTGTGAAGAGTATGTGCAAGATGTTAAGACATGACTCGTGTAGTCTTAGTCGAGAAATAGGCTGCAGAATACAGTGACTGTACACATTCATTTAGGAAACATTCTTCTTTATGCCCAACTAACTGCAAATAATTTCTGTTGGCAGCTAGTAACGTATGGAGAATTCTATTAGAGCTTAGCAAATTAGCAGTACAAGGAGGGGCCTGTTTAATGCTGGGGGTAAGTACTTGATATCATGTTGATGATTTACCTTTAGCTCTTTATTATCCAAAGTGTGGTGGCTTACATATAGAAGAAAATGAATTAGTAATGAATTCTAGCATAGAGAGAAGACCAAGGTTGAAACTGGACTTGGAATGTCACCATTTTCAAGTGCAAAGTTTCATTTAGTAAATGAAGTTCTTTTTGTGCATTCCTATTGAAAACTTGAAATATTAAAACATTTAAAATCTTTTTATAACTGGATAAATACATGAAACTTCCAAAACAAAGTAAACCTGAAGCATGCCCGTGAATAGGAAAAAAACCCCAAAACTTGCTAAGTTTGATCAAAACATGATCTTCCCAACTGCAGACCATATAAAACAGTATGTTGCTTGACATTTTCGCTGTATTTGCTCTATTTTTATGCCTTTTAGCAGCAGGAGAAGCTAGAGGAGTCAAATGTATCTTGGAAACTTTGTTGTTTTGGTATAAGGCATGACAGCTCATCAGGTGATGTTAAAGAGCTGTAGAAGTCTATCTTTTAATTAAAGCAGAATTGGATGCAAAAGATAAATTTAAAAGCCATGGGCCTCCATACGTAGTATGCCACATATTGTACAGCATACACGTACTTTATGTTTTATTTTATGTTGCCATTTTCTTGTGTGTGTGTGTGTAGTTACATGAGAGGGAAAAGGGCCAACATGGTCTACTACTTGTCATTTGAGAAATTTGGGAAGGCTGCCAACATCTGCGTAGGTACTAAGTAACAGAGGCCCTGAAGAGTACTTATGCCCTGCTTTGCCTTTGATAGAGGCATCTTGTGGCATTCAGTCAAAACCTGCAGGTCATCACACTTGTCCACCTCACTGAGTAGTCATGCTAGAGAGAAGTGCTAGGAAGGGAGTGAAGAATAAGGGATAATAAATGCTATCTCTTGGTCATATGATGAGAATAAAATTGAAGTTTACTCTCAGGAGATTGGGGGGGGACTAAGGCATGGTGGAACACTATTTAAAATCAGACCATTTGGCATATACTGTTTTGGATTGATCCTCCACTTGGCTTATTGCTTTAGTTGTTCTTTTAATATATGAAATGAACCTTAAGTATCGGAACAGTTGCTAAAATCCAACTCTAACTTGAACTATGTTTGGCATTGGGGGTGGGGGAGTGTATTAAAATATATGTTGACCACTACAATTCTTCATCACCTTTAGAGAAGATGTTTTTGATTATTCTGAGTGGCTTTTGTGGTTTGGTGGTGGGGTTTTGTTGTTTGTTTATAATTTGATTTCTGAAGAATAAGGCAACACTGACATCTCCATGATTCTACAGGAGAAAATCAAAAACCTGAATACTTCAAGATGTTCTGATTTTAAAAAACAGTGCTGCTCCACAAGTGCCTTGAAGAACCAGTTTAATCCCTAGACTAAACTGGATCATGTAACTGTGAATTTGTCCTTAGAGAAGGATGGAAATAAAAAGTTTTTTCTTTCTTTATTTGTATGGCTAGGAATAAAGGCAAGATCTTATTACTCACTGCATTTCCCTCAAGCTGCTTACTGAAAACTGTCAGAAAGGGCAGCTGACAAAAAAATCCACTAAAACTTGAAAAAAATTCTTAGAAACATAAATCATCTACAGCTTTCTCTGTTCTGAAGCTCATTTTTTTTATCTGTACACATTCATTTGGTTTTTAGCTTAGAAATTTTAAAAATTGGATGCGAAGAGAATATGACACAGAATTAAAACTTAACTTTTAAGTTTACTGATACTTAAACTAAATGATCTCTATAGCCTAAATGAGTTTCAAATCCAGTAGCCCTGACAAAGTAAGTCAGTGTTATAGAGGATATTTTGATGAGGACAGTAGTGTTGTCTTTTCATAGTAGTTATCTGTATGCTTCAAGTGACTAAAGCAGAAGGAAGTGATAAAGTGACCCTTTACAAAAGCTGAAGTATGAACAGAGCAACAGTAAAGCCAGAAAGTTCTTATGTTACTGTCATCTTAGGGAGGAGACTGCTATGAAGCACTGTTTTTTTGTCCTACTGGTCTACAGAGAAACTACATTAGCAGGAAAAAAAGAAACTGTAGAAATATCTGTGGTAGGTTATTTTTGATTAGATTTTTAACAGTAAGATCCTAGAATATGTAACCATGACCTCATTCTGCAGGAAGAAGGTAGGAGGTGGGAACTGAAGTTACAGTTAAACATACACACAAAACCTGACCAAAACAGTCACAAAATACCAACCTTTTAATTTTTGACTATGATTGAGTTTGAATTTTTATCTGGATGTTGAAAGGTCTATTTTATTAAAAAATAGATCCAATACATTCTCTTTATTCTCAGATTAATACACTACAAACCCACAAAGCAATAGAAGCAACACTGAACATGGTGAAGAAGCATTTGAATGTCTCAAAGTTATTAGAATCTCTTCTTTTTATTTCTTGTTGCCTTCTTTATAGAAGAAATTACTTGTAGAAAACAACATAGTTACAAATTTGTAACACTGACACTAGAGTGACAACTCATGCCAAATCTCAACACATAGAGAACAGGGAGAAAAGTCCATCTGACAAGTTCTCACTTTATTGAAAACATGAAACATTTCAAATGTCAAACTCCTAAATGCAGCATTTTTTTGTCTATTGAAAAGCTAAGAATTTCCACTCCTTAGAGTAATATTTTTCAAAGATGTAAGAGGAGACATTGCAATGTACAGTGTTCAGTATTAAATTAAAAAAGGCACTTGCTATCCTGCTTGCCTAAATAGATAAAAGACCAACTAAACAAAACCCCCAAAACACGTCTGCAGAGAAAGGAGAAGTGGTAATACCAAAAAAGAGGTTAAGTATGTCCACAGAATACATTCATATTTAAAAAGACAATAATGAAGTTTGACCTAATAACTTAAGCAGATGCTTCTAAGGCAACTTAAATTTTGAAAGTCAATGAAGCACTGAGTTTGAAGTCTTGGATATTTTTTTTCTTTAAGTAAGAAAAACAACCAACCAAACAAAGAAGCGCTTCAAAGTTCTGTTCATCCAGGCACCACCACCAGTGCCACAATATAGCGATCCACTCAAGGGCAAGAGCAATGTAATTCAATAAACTTATACTGCTACTAGTTTTTTACATTTTTCTTAGCAATTGACTGGACAATAATGCAACCCCAAAGCAGAATAATCATCAGGTAAAATTGTTTGTCTTTCAAATAGACACTCCCTCAATGTGTTTCTGCATTGCAGAGTGGTTTGAGTGCATATTCAGCCACAGGCTGAGTGCCACATTCAAAATGTGTTGGAAAAGAGACAGCAAAATATAAGGAACTAGTAAATGGCAAGTAATGGCTAGTAAATAAGGCTGCCCAGAGAGGTTGTGGAGTCTCCTTCTCTGGAGACATTCAAAACCCGCCTGGACACCTTCCTGTGTAACCTCATCTGGGTGTTCCTGCTCCGGCAGGGGGATTGGACTGGATGATCTTTTGAGGTCCCTTCCAATCCCTAACGTTCTGTGATTCTGTGAAATGGGTAGGCAGAAATGATAGAGTCCACATTTCTGGTCAACTCCAATGTTTGACTAGGAAGAAGGTAGTTGGTATATCAGAAGAGGGACATGCAGAATTCATTTGCAGAAACACTGAATGCCTCCACCAAAACCAAAATGCTTTCATCTCCCCACAGTTTAACAGAATTCATATAGTCACATATGCCTGTGACCTCTTGTCCTGTCAGCCTTATATTTTCCTTGTGGTATCTTCTATATTCACAGCTTCAGAATATTTTGAATTGTATCTACCTCTGGTACCACTTAGAGTTCATCCTAGTGACAAGAAAACAAACAAGTTGGTTATACTGAAAGTACAGATAAAAATCAAGATTTTTTCCCTTGTAATTTTTCAATTTTTCTGTAGTACTAATGTTTCAATTAGACAAATGTTTCTTAAGTGGAATTCAGGGTACTTCTTAACAGCTGTGTATTAATATCTTCTTTCTGAGTTAAAATGCCAGTCTTAACCTTGCACTCATCAGCCTCTGTCACTTAGACTAGATTTAGCAAGCAGGCACTAAGAGTTACATTTAAGGATACAGTGCATCTCAACCATCTGTCTGTAATGCAGCCGTCCCATGGGCATGAGGATGTTCCATGGACATCTATAAATCCTACTAAGTGTTGCCATAACTTGATGTCACGGCTGCAGTCTTCTCTGCTACCTCTGCAGACATGGAGAACTGAGTTTGAATAAATAACAGCAACCAAGACAAGACTGGAAGAATGTACCTGGGACTAGTTGAAAATATGGCATTTAATACTTCAAGGACAAAGAGCACACGCTAACATCTTTTTAAAGGGCTGTTCTTTACAATAGTTTAAGTCTTTTCTGAAAGGCCCCACAATAAGTATTCTTACCTTATCTCTAGATTTTTTTCTTCTTCCTTTATTTTGAATTGCTTCTAATTTTTCATTCAACGTGTCAGCAATGCTTTTTGCATCTCTGCTGTCTATATATTCACCAAGAACGTTTTTCTTAAAAAAAAAAAGTGTAACACATTACTAATGCTCTACACTGAACAGGAAATCTGCTTACTTTCAGATAAAATTCAGGAGTAATGCAGGGAGGAAGACAATGGCTCTGGTAGGTTGATTTATGGTTCATATATATTTTTGTCTCCATTTAAATAACACTAACTGTCTTTATAGTAAGAACCACTCTTAGCTGCTACTTTCAAAATTACACTAATTTTGAACTACACAAATTTTGTCTTGATCCTTAAGAAACCTAAAATAGTTATAATTTTCTCACATTTAATATTCAGCTAAGTATTTAATGTAGGCAGCCATTACAAATTCTGCCACTGCACAGTCCATGTTAAATCTGCCAGTGAGGGTTGCTACTTTTGGGACCTGAAAAGTCATTACTTTACTCTTTACCACAGAAAAGTCTCATTGAATTTGATGGGATTATGTGAGGAAGGATTTCTAGAACTTCCCATAACAGATTCAGTGAAAAAAAAGTATAATTAAAAGAACTGGCATTGAATACTTTCTCTTCAGCATTAATACATTTAAAAAGGTAACTATAATATTCTTGAATTTTAATAGTTTTACAAGAATAACGGTAATTTCCTAAAACTATCTGGATACTTTTCTATTTCTTAATTTATTGCTACTAATCTGTAAGAAATGTTGATCTCAACAGAGAGTCACATTGATAACTGAAATGGTTTGGTAAGGTTTGGCTTTGAGGCAGGACACAACTAAATATTTTTTATCAATTTTCTATCTTAAAATACATTATTTAAGTCAAAGTTATAATGAAATTATTACATTGAAAAAATATTTCTCCTTAGCCAAAATTAAGTTGTCCACATTTCATTGAAAGAAAGAAATTGCCTGCTTTTGGTAGCTGGTAGTGAAATTGGTAAAGGTTGAAAAACATTCTGTCACATGAGACCCTGGCAAAATTAAACCCTGGTTCTGGTTAAATCCACATTTGAGTTACTGTTCTAATTCTACAACTTATTATTTTTCAGTAACAGATTACTACTGTATCATTGTCCTACTGATTTAAATATTACTGAAATTGATTAGTATTATACCTCCCAAATCTCTAAATAATGCACTTTAGTATCTTACAGAAATTTAAGTCTTGATTTGAAATGAAATACATCTACTGTCAGGACTCGCTCACCAGCGTACACATAGAAGATACTTTACCTTTGCTCCTTGGTAGAGGTAAAACTTAACAGTAGGGTAGGCTCTGATATCAGCAGTCTGACAAGTCTGAGCAAACGCCTGACAGTCTATTTTTCCAGCTTTTACTTTTCCTTTAACAGCCTAAAAAGAAAGTATTAGAAACAAACTTCACGTTTCCATGGGTGACCATAGGCAAATTAACTTGAATAAGCTAGCAGCGCAGCTAAAAGTAAATGAAAAAAGTTTCTCAAATAATTTAAATATCTCAGACCAGTTGCTTGCTTGCCTGCTTCTCAGACCTGGCATCAGAAGTCACTGTGTTCAGCAGAGCACTTCTACCTGAATTCAGGGCAAAGCACATCACAGTGCCAAAGGTCACCCCATCACAGGCTCTAATCTATCTCAAAAGAAGTGGGGTTGGTGTGTGTGCACATGTGTGCAAGTGGGACCTAAAAGTGTGGACTTCCAATGAGAAGAAGGCTCACTGGAGGTAAGGATAATTGCTCAGAAATAAAGTGCTGATGAGTTATATTCTAACCATTATAACAATCCACTAATAACGTTAAAAACCTACCCTTGCAAGGATCTCAAATTCAGGAGCAAAATTTTGGCAAGGTCCACACCAAGGAGCATAAAAATCAATGACCCAATGGTCTTTTCCATGCAGAACTTTTTCTGTGAAACTCTGAGGAGTCAGGTCCACAGACACTTGTGGTAGATATCTGTGGAAAGGAAGAATAACAGTCACAATCCACTCAAAACTTAAACTCCATTTAAGCACTAGAAAAAATTTGGAAATTAAAACTATTAGTCTGGAGATCTCTACTTTGTACTGGAAGAGAATCACTTTTTAAAAGTGGAAGATAAAATAATATGGTCTTCAGCAAATAGGTAGATAGTAAGGAGTATGCTACTTTTCCACATTTTAAAAACTTGAGTTAAAAGATGTGGAAACTTTAACATCTTAATTTAAGCAATACATATACCTGAGTGTTTCTAAATCTTGATTTATGTAGCATTTAAATATTAATTTCTTCTAGCAAGCAAACTGTTTAAGCAGCTTGTGAACAAAGTTTAATGCAGTAACTTACCCCAATGCCCAGCCTCTCAGTGAATAGGAATCTCTGTGCCATCCATTGTAGCTACTGTAAAAAGATAAAGAAGAAAAAAAATCCAGTTGCACAGTAGTTTGTTTTTTTTTTCAACAATAATTCAAAACACTGTAGAGGTGACGAAATAATGAACTTAAATGCATAAGTTTTAGGATATATTTCTACCTTACTTTCAAATCTGAATAATTAAGTCTCTGATACAATTCAAAGATACAGAATTAAGGACTAGAAGATGAAGAGAAGAAAATTCTCTGCAAGAAAGTAAGAAACTTGGTTTGGAGCACATCAGCTTTGATAACTAGAACTACTGTGAATGAAAGATCTTTGGTAATAACTCCAGATAAAATTTCAGGCTCCAATAAACTTGAGAATTAAACTGAAATATCTTAATATATTTTCTAGTTGTTGCTCATTCATTACAATAAATCAATTATTATATACATTTCCCTCACGTTGACAGTAGAAGAGCCTGGCAAAATGGTTACTTGGACAAGGATTTATTATTTGGCCTTAAAGGGAACTGCTTAGTTTTGAAATTACAGTGACAAGTTAAAAAAAAGATTAATTCAAGATTCATATCCACTAATTTACACCTTCATAACGAAGTACTTTTCAACAGATTTACCCAGTCAAAGTCTGCTGTGATAGTTCTCTTTATTTTAAGAGACAAATTTCCATATTCTTGCAGGAAATTATTAAGAATTTGGCACGTTACAGTCATATTCACCAACTTATTTGTCTTCAACAAGAAAAAAACTTTCTGCTTTCAAGAGAAACTTTATCTAGAAGTGAAAAAAAGCAAGCAATGCAATGATGAAAGCTGAATTCTACTATTATACACTGCAATGAAAAGGCATTACAATATATTATTTGCCAGCACTTAACAGAACTTCCCAATTTGTAAAAAAATGAAGCAATTTCAGATTGTTATCTATTTGTAAACATCAATATGCTTCCTCAATCTTTGAACAGTACTATGAAATGGAGGCAATTGGCTGTTTGTTTTTGGACAGATTTGACTTCCCATATAATTTATATGTTTTGTTAATGATTAATGTTTTCAAACTAATGATACAGTGAACAGGATGACTAGATACACAGTGGACAATTTTTGCAATGGTGCCAACAGTCTGTTGGCAGGGTGGATGATCAGATGGCCACATCACCGTTCTCTAAAGATAAAGCTTTATTAGGTCTAGTAGTATTTTTATATTATATAATTTAAATCTATTTTAAAAAGCAATTAAAGTTACAAAACTGATAATTTATAAAGAACAAGAAAGAAAATTTAAAATTCCTGAGGCAGTCGGAATTAAAATTACTGAAATGAAATGGTGAAATAAAATGACACTAGTTTAAAGTAACAAAGTCATTAACATCTAGGACATTGATATTGTTACAGCTTATTTTAATAGCCACGATGAACCTTTTCTACACAACAGAAGATGTGTATTTGCCTTGTTCCACATCATCTAACATTTGCCAAACTGAAATAAACTACTTACTAATATTGATAAGCTGTGTTTGACTTCTGAGGAAAGAGTCTTATTTCAGGATATCCTCGAACACTTTCTTGGTGACAGAAAGAATAGTATTTTTGACAATCCACACTGCCTACGCTGATTAATCCATTTAACATCTGAAAAACAGAAGAAAATCTACAATCAAATATGTTAATCAGTAATACTGCACTTTCAGTAATACTTCAGAATTTAAGTCTTAATCACTTAGTTGAGAGGGAGGAGAAACAACAAAGCAAACCAGAATTATCACAAGGCCTTGTTCTTCTTTCCTGTAAATGGGTCACTGGTATCTCATGGGAGCCAGCCACCCAAGTGCATTCCCATCACACACATCTATATTAGTATAAGCTGCATCCACATGGCTCATGAGGCACCTACCTTGCCTCAAAGGTACACATGAGTGTGGTTATTTAGTATAAGGACCACCATGTTCCATATCACAGGCTCAGTAATTATGACAAATCCTGTACAGTGCAGATGTGCTATCAGTTGCAGTTGTCCTGTGTCTTGAACACACTGGATTTGTTGCAAAGACCCAAACCACCCGGCATGGGCAGGGAAGCTGATGATTACTGAATGTGTACTACAGAACTAATAATACCTCACAGACATTAGTCAGGATTCTATATTTTGGTCAAGAACTGCTAGTCTAGGCGAGTTCTAGATGTCTTGGACTTGTTTCTAAAGCCTTATTTTTTTCCCCATAAAGTTTTAGTTCAAACTCCTGGAAACATGTCCAGGAAAACCCAGAATAAATCCTCTTAATACAGGAAATAATTAAGATTGAATTCCTTTAATCTGAAATTCAAGTCAGTGGTTTCACCAAGGTCTAAGTTGAATAATGATCATAAAGAATACTGAGAATAAAGTGGCAATTTTTTTCAACCAATTATCTAATTTATGGATAAACCTCTTTTCTTTTAAATATTTTGTTTTAAGCAAATGCAGAACTCTTGTCCATGTAAGGCACTAAGCATCAAGGAATGTTACTCTAAAGTTTCTTAAATCTTGGAAAACACACTTGTAGCAACAGGAAAAAGTGGATTACAGTATCAGTGTACTGAGTCTTTAATACAACCAAAGAAAAACTTTGTATGTGAAACAACAGAATACTGTCAGGTAGTAATTCCCTGTTTTGCCTCCAATACTACACTAGACTTTCTCAGTTGACAAATTTCTAAGACAGCAGTTGCACCATCTCAATAATTCCATGGAATAAAACACAAAAGCAGAAAAACATTTGAATGTTGTTTACCCTGGCCATTTTTTTCCATTCTGGCATTAAAGCCTGACAAGGTCCACACCATGGAGCGTAGAAGTCAACCAACCAGATTTCCTCTCGTTTTCTTCTCTGAACTAATTCAACAAATGTCTCTGGTGTTAGGGAGACCACCGATGGATTCCTAAGATCCTAAAGTAAAGACAGTTTATAGACATATACTTTGCCACAGCAAGTTATCCCCTATCTAGCACCATCATGTACAAAGAGACTGTATCAAATTCTGAGAATGCCTCCCTTTTAATGACATTTTCTTGCTGCTGTGGTAGGGAAGACTCTATACCACTGAAAGGCATGGAAGCATCAAAGGTCTTCCCTTCAACCTTACAATCACATGCCTGATTTTCTGAGAAAAACTGTAAGAAAAAAAATACAGCCAGGCTGCAAAAGGGAATTTTTCTGCCACTTCTCCATAAAGGGTGGTAAAAGACAAGAAATTCAAGAGCAGGCATTATGACTCAGCTATGCTATTTAGGCTGGGATGCAGAAGAATACACATGGTGCACTAGAGGCCTCTCAATATCAACTGAAAAAGACTGGTCCTGCATTTGTCCTCTTAAACCTGCTTTTTCTGGGCTGCCAGGAGAGAATGAACAGTCTCTTCAAAGAGTGGAAAACAGCCTGTGGTTCTAACAGTGAAAGAACCTGAATGCTGCAGGAAAGATGGGTGCCAGAACTCTGGCAGCCACAATGACCAATGATATGCAGTTCCGTGACTTAAGAAAATTTCAGATGTAGCTGAGAAGCATGAAGGGCAGTAAGCTGACATAAAAATGTGAACGTTCTTCAATGTCAAGGTGAGTATGTGAGGTATTTTCACCTTAATATTACAGCACTTCATGCTTTTAATTCATTAATCATTTCTATGAGATAGAAATCATTACTGTTACTTTGCAGATTAGAGTGGATTTCAAGTTATTTGCTAATGCTCTCAAAGAAATTACATAGAGTAGGGAAATAATCCATTAGGTGTCAAGTCTCAGACTGACATTTTTCTTGCTCAAGGTTTTTTCATTGTTTATAAGTCTAATTAAAAAAAAATTTAAATCTTAGAATCTTCCAACTAAAAAACATATTTGTGGATAAGGTGTGAACACAGGATGACTACAGCAAGGATTATAGTTTACGTACCTCTATAAACTCCAAGATCTGCTCAGCAGAGTGATGTCCTTCATATTCACGAACATCCGACCGATTGAACACAACTGTTGTTGGATAAGCTCGAATGTTATGCTAACAAAACAGACAATAAGAAATTGCAAGGAATTATTAAGTTTCCCAGTATGTACTTTTCTTTAACTGTCATTAGTATTGGTGACTCATAGCTGCTAATCTATGCAGGTGGTATAGTACAACTGCTCACGCTTAATTGCAGATGAATGTTTGAAAACATTATATTTCAGTACAGAAAAGATGCCAATGTGAACATTAAAATGTGCAGTTGTAGAAAAGCAGCCAAAGTGGAGTATTTTCTGTAATTCAGGAAAAATAATGTCAATAATTTCAACCATGACAAATTAATTGAAGCAAAAGTTAGGCAAGTTTGAACATGGAAAACTGGGCAATATTTTTTTTTCCATTCCATTACTATATCTTTAAGTGCAAACTGGTGAGTAATAAACTTTCCTTTATTTTGAAATTATTCCTGCATTTCTTAAGCCCTACAAACCAAAAAGCAAAGTCAGTTATGGTGAGATGAATTAGAAGTGGTTTTGCAGACATCTTCAAAAAGTGTTATATCAATATAAAACTTGTATTTTTAAATGTTTTACCATCTTTATCCTATGTGAAGAACAAAAGGAATGCCTGTATTAATTTATACACACTAAAAAAACCCTTCTAGGTGTGCTTTAAATATTTTTTTTCTCTTAAATAGCCCAGGAATTTTTAAAATCTGATACTTCTAGACTCTTCCAATAACACTACACAATCAGAGTAATATGTGACCTATATTTTGCATTAATATACTATATGTAGTAATTACACAGTTTGTTCATTTGAAAAAAAATCATGCTACAAGCATCCTGTTTGGTTTGCTACCCTTTAAGAAATTAGTATTAAAGAACAAGCATTGTCTGGGCCCCATCATGAAGAAAATAATGTGCTTTGAATAGATTTTTTTTTTTTAATAGTTCCTGCAGCTTACCATGTTGCAAAGCCCTTCATGGACAGTACAGTCCAGTGTTCCAAATTTAAGCTGACCATAAAGATGTTTTGATGCTTTTCTCAGCTCTGGTAACAAAGCTCGACACGGAGGACACCACTAGAAAACAAAATGCAAGTAAGCACAATTGCTTTCCCCACAGTTGGCTCTCAGGAAGACGTGAGCTATTTGAGATTAATTAATATGCTGTTTTGACAGCTGACTCCACTAAATGCAAACCCCACACACAGTCTAGGAACTAGACTGCCAAGAAACGAGAAATTACAATGTTGTCTCATGATGCTGAAGGACACTTTCAAGATACTGCTAGTATTTTGTTACACAGTTATATAACAGATTCTAGAAGAAGGGAAATATAGATATTGAATATTTACTGGTGCAAAGAAATCCACAAGCCATGGTTCCTTCTCTTTGTCAGGAAAATTCTGAGGTCCCAATGTGATAACATGAGAGTTGACACTTTCTTTGGCAAATGCAACAATGTCATACAAGATCTTCTTTCCTTCAAAGAACAACATAGAAAGGAAACTTTATTTTTCCCTTTGAGAAATCTTACTAAAAGATTAGCAACCTGATAGCAACAGGTGTCCTTCAGTTCCCTTGACTGATCTTTAAACATGGCCTGCTTAAATAAATTAAACAGATACTGGCTTGATTTTTCTCAGGAAGACAATATTAAACTGTCCAAACCTACAAAGGTGAGACATACTCTAGGTGACAGTTGATATTTGGCTAAATATTAAATGGGATATTTACCCAATATTAACCAAATAAATGTTTTATACAAAACAAACCATGTTTTTGTCAAAGAAAATGAATGGTTTTTGTGACTGGACAATGATTTGTTTTACCATCTTACTATTGTTTGTTGGAATTAAGAATTTGCTCTTCTAGTCACACTTGCCTTGACAAAGGTACTGACACAGTAAAGACTTCAAGCAAAATAAATGATATTTATTTATATATCAGAAAGCTGTGGTATATATAAAAAAAACAACAACCTGAAGTTTTCACTGACACAGCTCCAGTGGGCAAAGATCAAGTCTCTTTGAACATTTCATGTACATTATTTGTCAGCAGAAATGAGAGTCTGTGTCTTGACATGAACTGAGAGGAAGAACTTCAGGGTAATTAAATCTTAATCTTAACAGTTCTTAGATATTAAACTGATGAGGACCTTCAGTGTAACATACAGAAAAGCCTTATTCTTTTGAGTGTTACATTAGTGAGATGACTACTGCCAAACCTTCTAGATGCCATCTATTTTGTAAACAGTAAACCAAACCATTCTGAAAAGAATACATGCACTGTAGTCTAATGTACTTCTCTTACTCTATTTTTAATCTATGCCATTATAAAAAAAAATAATCTAAAATGCTGCATGTATATGAACCTTTCTTGGCTTCTCTGCAGGAGTCGAAATTGTAGAGAGTATGAAAGGCTTTTCCTGGCAGCAATCATTAGATGTATGCAATCATCTTTCCCTCTTAGATACAACTCATCTTTTCTAAGTGGTCAAAAAACTTTTGTCCTTTTTTATTACAGTACTGAGGTTCTGACTTAATTCTAGCAAGCTGTTTATAATACTTCAGAGGCTGAAAAATGAGAACCTCATCTTGCTTAATTGCCTTGTGCTGCATTCTGGATGAAACTACACCAATTGTTGCAAGCAACAGTTTTGCTTCAGGCTGCATTCTTCTTTAACCAGCATTTTTGAATCCTTTCAGCAGTACACAGTAACACAGTTCCAACCTTTCCTGGAAGGAAACAGCTACTTTGGAAATCAAAGTAAGTGGTAAAAGTCTCAATATAGATTTTCTTGGATGGAAGTCAATAAAACATGGAATTAGTTTTAGTGCAGTGACACATGAAATCAAATCCAAGTTTCTCAAGCTGGTGGCACTGTATAACTAGCATTTTAAACCTCCATGAAATGTGTGTGTTACAACATTCCTTGGTTATCCTACTCAAAGCAGAAGCTGTCCTGATCAGCTTCAGAGATTTCACATGTATATAATTATAAATTACAAATTATAAATATTGAAATAGATAGGATAGTAAAGATGAAATACATCTCTTGGCATCTGATGACTGCTTACCTTGGAAAGAAAAAGAAACAAAGAAAAACCACAAAAAAACAACCAAAGGAAATTAAAAGTTTGTGCAAGGCTACTGTAAGGTCAGAGGAGAAATAGCAAATATTAAAACTACAAAACTGTTCTTTGGGAAAACAAATGCAGTTTGCCAAACGTAGTTTCATCTCAAAGTGATTATGTAATGATTAAAAACTTGCCAAAGTTTCCCTTACCATGATGAATTTCATAATCTCCAGTTCCTTTTCCTTTGAAGACTGCTAAAGAAGGCTGATAGACATACAGCTTGTTGCAGATAGTTGGTGAGGAAAGACAGTCAAACTTGCCAACCTATATAATAGACAGTGCCATTTTAATTAGGGCTTCCTAATTTATATAGATTAACATATTTTGAAAGGCAGTAAGAGTTAGGACAAATTGATTAAAAAAGGTAAAAATATGGAAAAATTGTAGCCTTTTAATAAACAACAGATGTCTTAAGACAATCTTGTAATTATGATGTTTGAGGAAAACTACTAGAACAGGTATATTGGGTTGTCCACTAATTTTTAGTTTTAAGGCCAAAATGGGGAATAAAATCTTTAAGAATCCTCTTCCCCTACTCTCCCTCAAATAAAATAGCAAGGAAGAAAAATGACACCTAATATAAATGTGACATTAAAATTCTTCTAGTCAATGTAAAAATTTTTCTAAAATAGAATAATTCAATTCATAAACCTTTAGCAAAAAGTTTCAATTTGGTGTATTTTTATTTCAATATAATTATAGATTTTTCTGAATAATTAAAATACAGTTTCACATACATCTATGTGATATTGAAATGTTAACTGATTGGGATCTGCAGCAACATATCCCATGAAAAAGCAGATTTAAAAGATCATCTTTCTCAACCAGTTTTAAATTACTGAAACCGTATGGGAAACTTCATTGCTTGCTTTAAATTAAAAACTTTACTACAGATCGCTAGATCTGTATGATTATATATCTCTTTCAGTACCAGGACTGGCAGGTGGTAGTAACAGCTAATAATAATGAAAAATATACTGACTTGTTCTCTGAATGTAAATGGTATTTAAAACACTCGGTGAGTGAGCAGTCTTACCTGAATATGCTCATCTTTAAGTAAAAATTTAAGTTTCTTAAATTCCTGTACATTTGATTTATCGCTTTCCCCAAACTGGAAGAAAAGCAGCCATCGGTGATGAGCCAGATGATCCTTTAAACAAAGAGGGAAAAAACCAAAAACACAACAAGAACACAGAGAAAAAAATTATTCGCAACTTATACCAACTTGTAAATTCCATTTATGTTTTATAAAGGCAAATGCTCAATTATTAATCTGATCTGTAAGTGACCTCCTCCATTCAACAAATTCTTTCATGTAGTCCCTTCCACTAAACTTCATTGTACTGCAGCATAAGCAGGAAAGAGGAAATTAAAATTTGAAAACAAGCTGGCTACATGTTGTTACCCTCTATACTTTTTACTTCCACGTGCATTTGCTATTGTAGATCAAGCTGCTAAGTGGTACTACAAGTGTGAAAAGAGGTTTCTTCTTTTTTTTTTCCCTCTAAGACATGAGTAACTTATGACTTCTAATTTCAATTTATATATAACTTATGCATTAACGAGTATGATTTTCTTTCTTTCTTTACTGACAAAACACCTTTAAAATAAAATTCTCTACAACGTAGTTGATTTAAAAAATAACTAGAAAGTTACAGTTGCAGAATGAGTTGCAATGGCAATTAAATACACCTCCAGCTTACTTTTGTTGTTTTACTAAACAATAAAAGTATATGCAGACAAACAATGTTAAATAATTTTGGCTACACAGGAAAAAAAAGTAATTTTCAGTTAAATAAATACTAGGTGGTTGTATCAATCTGATTTGAACAACATAAAAAGTAACAATAAAAATATTAAAAGTATATCATTTAAGGAAATCTTAACTTATTTAAAAAAAAATTACCTCTAATGATGTTGCAGAGATAAATTCAAAGTCTGGCAGATGTTGCATTACTTCCTGATATATTTCTCTGGCATCCAAGGAGTTAAGAAACTAGGAAGGAAAGTTAACTGTTTATTACAAGGAACTGAATACTTCAACATGATTGTTGAAGATTAGTAGTCAAAGTGTCAGGGAAATTATTCTGTTGCTCAGAATACTGCTTTTTAGCTTGTTTTCCCGGTATTAAACTCAAGATACTGTATTTTGTCAAAACGGGTGCCAAGTCTCAAATTCAAATTTCAAACCAAATTTCCCAATCAAGTTTACTAGATTTCCAATCTAGTTTTACAGCCGTGCTTAAATGCATTGTACAGACATTTAAGATTCAGTAGTTTATTTTAAATTTAGGAAGTAATATGAATCAGTAACTCAGAATTGGTAAGTTACAAGGTTGAAAGTAGGTATGTTACAAGTTTAAGTTCCTCATTTTAAAGATAGAGATAACAGTAGTGACATTAAAGAACAAGCCATGTGTCACACTTAGAAATGTCTCCCAGCAACTAAGGAAGTTAAAACCACCCTACAAATGTAGGAGGAAGTTGCAACATTAGAATATAGCTGAGCAGCTTAATCTGTACTGACAGACAACGTAGGAGTACTTTTATCACACATGTCAGTACTGCGCTCAGAGCAGGATTTCTCAAACTTGGGATACCTGGTACATATTCCTTCTGGAATAAAAACAGGTGGCTCATGGCAAATCTCCTGAATTTGCCCAGGATAGCTGGGTAACAGCTTCAGAACTGGCTCTTGGGCCTGTCACAGAGCACATCCCACCCCTGGATTCCCACAGGTGCTCAGGGAGGCTCCTGAGGAGGTGGCTAGGCAGAGCTACGGGCTGCTGCTACTGCAGCATGCTCCTGTTCACTCCCCTCAGCCTACCAGCAAACTGGGGACCTGCTTCAGGAATCACTGCCTTAGAATCCAGGAGGGATATAAACACAAACCAGGGCATACAAGCTTAGAAGAGGAAGTAAAAAACCATCTTTTTGGTTGTACATACTCAATCTGGAAATTATACATTCCTTCTTCATTGTCATCACCTTGTTTTATGTAAATATAGAATGCTTGAGAAACAACTCGTACCAAAACACCTCCTTTCTCTCTGTTATTTATGGTGGCTCCAGGTGGAAAGTATGCTGTAGTACTAGATGAGATATCTAAATTATCACAAAGCTCACCCTGGGTGCCACAGTCCATCCAGCCTACATTAACAAGGCCTTCCTGTAATAAAAAAAACACAAACACAAAACAAAAACAAAACCAAAGAAGAGTATTTTTTCAATTTCAGGTTCAGAAATGCTTTTGAAAATCCCAACATTGGCAATTATAGACATTTAGGAAATGGAAGGAGACTAACATATTAGTTAATATTAATTCATATTTTATAAAAGTCCTTAAAAATTTAATGTTATTGCCATAGCTACTAAGTCAAAATATTTCATTCTTCTCAAAGTTGAAGTCTTGGTTCCACTAAAGTCAGTGAGAGCTTTGGCTACAACTTCATGCTTTCACTTGTGTAATTTTGTTTTAAATAGAACAGGTAATGCTTTCAAAGTGAAACACTGCTTACCAACATGCCAGCCAGCTTAAGGCGTGTTTGGTAACTCAAGCAATCTGCAAGACAAAAATGATTTACAAACATAAAACTTCAAAATATTAATGCACTAAATCTACTCTTGTTTACAATTACCCCTCTTCCCCCTACAAAGGTAACCATTTCATGCTTCCTGGCTACTCATCCAGTATTTCAGTGTCTTGAAGTTGTAACATTAGCACTTGGTGGTTGTCTGGTCTAAGTTAAAAACAACATGAATAACATTCTCTTGCTTCATCAATGCAGACTTCTCATTTTAATAAATATTATATTTTCTATACCACGACTGACCTTTAAAATTTCTTCTTAATAAATGTTTAAAAAAAACACCCCAAGAGGTATCTACATACTGTCTTGGAATGAGATTTCAATGGAAATAGCAATTTTCTGTGATTAAAATAACTCCTCACTATAATAAATACATCATATGCTCCAATTACCCATCCAGACTTTGAAATAGTTAATTTCTGATGCAGATTTTTTTTCCTGAAATAAGAAAATGCATCAACTTCACTTTAATTGGACCAAAGTTGAAAACTTAGTAACAAAAGGACCACAACTTGAAATCAAGTCATTTACAAATGTAAATCCAAGACTGCATCTCTGCTTAGTCAGTTCACAGAGCAAAGGTCTTCATAAGACCAAGAAATCTTTATTTGTCAAAGGTGTAGTACATTTACTTAGCTCTACCAGCTAACAAAGGCAATGTTTTCATATACCGTATCCAATACTGATCCCAAGAGTCAGTGACAAACAGCTACAAAAAATAATGCAAATCTAAACTATGTCATGACATCAGCAGTAAGATCCAATTACTATGTCCAAACCTAACTTAAGAGAAAAAATTCAGCTAATTTTTGAATACTGGTGGTTTAAAGGGGAGATACATCCTTTCTTCTACTCAGCCATCATGACAAGCTGGCATGGACCAGCAGTATCTGCCATTTGAGCTTTAGCTAGAAACTGAAGTCAAGAGCCCTTTTCTGCCAGCTCCTTTCCTGAGGGGTTACACTTGAGCGCTGCTTTAATCACTCACGTTACATTACAGAAGCATCATCTTTCTCTTAATGTCCCTTTTGTCATACTGCCTCTAAGATAGAGCTTAAATGGCCCACAGTCCAAATACTGTGATCATCTAAGATGTTTTACAACTTCTTATCAGAAGCAGAATGTATTATGCCACTGTCAACAAAAGTACTTTTTTTCTGTTTGTCTAATTTGAAAAGTTCACCTACCCCCATGTTCAGCACAGAAGGTGATCAGCCAACCAATGCCAGAAGCAAATGAAGTTTCAATGGCATTAACAAAGTTTCCTAAGAGTGAAAAAATCTGCATCAGTTTGTGACTAGTTAAACATGACTGTGAAACAAGGTTTTATATTTGTATTAGCAAATTACAGTAAATTATTTTTAATCTCAAAAATAACACTTAGGAACAGCTGACAGATTCAGTTGTATACAGTTTCTGCCATATTTTATATTGTAAAAGCAATTTCAAGAAAAACATCCCAAGCAAAAAATGTGAACATTACCTGCCCATAACTCAGTGACTGTGCTTGTAACATACTGCATGGCAAAGTTCTTTAAGCTCTCTTTTGACCTGTCTCCAAAATATTTCACTGGTTGCTATAGAAGACAAAGAATAAAGTTTAAAAAAAACAACCCAACCCAAAAATCTACTGGTTTTTATAACGGTACTTATACAAGTGCAGGGACACCCACTCCCCCTGCACCCTCCCAACCTTAGCTCTAACTCGTCTCTCCCTCCCATATTGGAATGTTTGGAATTTAACTGTTTTTAAATTTTGTAATATGCTTATTGCCATATCCCGCAGTAGTAGAGGGGAGAAGAGAGAGATCTGGCAGGCAGGAATGGTGCAGCAATAGTGATTTATTTTATTATTTAACAACTCTTTTATAGCATTTTTCTTCATAGCCTAATTGGTCAAGAGGTCAGCCACCCTGCCTGGGGTGACTGGCTGAAATCCTAAAACATCCATTGTGAGAATATTTTCCTACTATACTATAAACAATTCGCAGGTGTTCTTAGTTTACAATAACACTACTGATAGCTTCTGTGAGAGGGAAAAGTTTCATATGGGACAAGAGAGAAGCAAGAGAAGTTCTTGCTACTGCATGTCTGCATCCACATATGCTATCCTTCCAAGTCGAGCAATAGAAGGATAATTTAGTCTTAGAAACATCAACTCCCAATGACTATATTTCTATTTAAATAAAAACTGCTCACATCAGTCCATTCAGTGTACGTGCAATCTCTGCATTCAACCTCTCAAATCTTATCACTGTCAAAACGTACCCAACTATTTAAGTGCAAATTGCACACCACACCTGGCACCACTGCTTTAACAACCAGCTATAAAGTATGACGTACATAATACAGCTAGCATGGAGGAAATCTTGTGGAAGGAATTTCCAAGTTTCTTTAGGTATGTGGTCACGTTCTTTAGAACCAAAACCAACAGACTATTCTTTGTATTTGAGAAGTCCGTTACGATACCATACGAGAACCTGTTCAGGTAGACTTGTTGCTTTGCTACAGCACCACTGCTGACAGCATCTTCCCAAATCAGATGTGATATGTTGCACAGTAAAATGACTCAAAAAAAAGCACTCTATACACCAGATATCTACTTGTTAAGTTAGCTTTCTAAATTAACTAAGATGAAGGAAGAGAAAAAGTAATTTATTAAAAGGACTTAATATATTAAAAGGAAGAGCTATATAAAGATCTATGATTGAACTAGTATTAAAGAAATACTCCTCTAGATTTCAATCTTTCTAAAAGTGCTTGAAGTTTTATCACTCACCATTCCAGTTTTGAAAACATACAGGCTGGGATAACTGTTAATCCCTTTAATTCGACAAAGAATCCTATTATCTCCACAGTTGACAGCTCCAATGCGTATTACTCCATCCATCTCCTTAGCAAACTCCCTCCACTAGAAAAAAGGGAAAAAAATAAAAGAAGGATATTTTCCTATGAGGATATAATGAAAAATAAGCACATGTTTTATTCCTGGAATCCTGAATTGTCGTCTTTGCTTTCAGCTTGTGTGTAAAAATCCACTTTATTAAGTTTAATGCTGTTAAAAACAATGAATTTTCAGAGTTAGTTTGCTTGTTATACATACCGTAGGTGCCAAGTCATGGCAGTGGGAGCATCGAGGAGAATAAAAATTCACAAACCACAGTTCTCCTGAGTTAACAGCAGCATCTAGATGGAGAGAAGAAAACAGTAAGTAATGCACATCTACACCGTAGTTAAATCTAGAGTGTACATTTTTATTATATTGTTTTCCCCAAAAGCTAAATTAAGTATTTATATGTCAGACGCAGTAACTCAGATGGGATAAAGGTTGTATCTCACTTGCACATACTCACTGCTGTAGGTAAGTGCACAAAAATCGTATTTCAGAGGATATCATCACCCTGACCTTCAACATCCATTTATTAAGAGCAAGTGTACTCTCCACAGATTGACCTCGCTGAAATGTGTGGTAGCGCAACTTCTAAAAGACTTTTACCTACTAGAACTTCCCATTTCCTTATATCTCTTTATGTATTTTCTGGATTTCACCAGGCAATCTTTTTATGTAGAACTCCTGTCTAATACATGAAAGTGCAATTTGAAAAGCTAAGTTAATACAAATACTAGAAAATTTAAGGGAACCATAATTAAATACTCCTGCTTATAAAAAGAAAACAACAGCTACAAAATTTACATACACAGAGGTTATCAGCTTGAATTACATGGCTTTCAGTCTCTCCGTTTTTAGACATAATTTTTATAGTGAATTTTCTAAGTTATATTTGCCTACATAAAAATACACTCACAAACAAGACAACTTAGGAACATAGAGATTCTGCAAATCAATTAACCAATGCAAGACCAGGTTCTCACGGACACCATCGTGGGGTTCTGCCATTACAATAGCTTACGAAACTGGTTCAGCATGTAGATCCAGTTGTACAGAGGAAACTGTACTCAAAATGCAGATGAAAAAATCATACAAAATCCCATATGTTTTTCTCTCTAGTCTCTTTTCTTTATAAACACCTTTTAAAAGAAAAAAACTGGATTATATCCTCAATGAACGCATTATCTTTCCTTGTTTTACTTAGCTGTGTTTTTAGTATCTGGTATTACCTTCTTACCTTGAACCTCTTGTGCAAGGCACAATTGACTGTATTTCACAAAAAAAGTTAAAAGAAATGTAATAGAAAACTTCTATTAAGTGCATTTTTAGGCAAGAACCCCCCAAAAGAGTAATGACAAATTAGGAGAAACAAACTTTTAATTCAAATAATTTCCTCTTGCAGATCTCACAAAATCATTCAAACAATCTGAACAGTTTATTGATATTGATCTATTTGCTAACTAGCGTTTACCAGGAAGCATTAAGGATTGGGTTTTTTTCTCATCTGAAGATGATTTTCTGACAGCTTTTTGTCTAAACATGTAATAGACATCTATAGGTATACAGCTCAGAATGTAAAAATGTTTACTTTGGGTTGTCATGTTGTCAAACAGAGAGCTGTTTATTTAAAACTTACCAAATTCTCCTCTATCCAATGTTATAATTTCAGGATCATCATCATAAATACCTATCAAAACCAACAACAATTGCTTTTTATTGTTGCCATCTTTTAACATGAAGAAACAAAATTTCTTATTCATATGACAGTACACCTAAGTAGAAACAGTAGGCTGGCAAAGATAGTTTTTACAACAAAGCTATATTTGTTTAGTAATATGTAACCTTAGTTTAATCTCTTGCTAACTGCCACACCCTCATGCTACAAAAGCCACCATCAGAAGTGAACAGTTCTTTTGGTGTTTTAGCAGATCAGCCACCAAGAGAGCAGAGAACTTGGACTACCACTGTTACAACAAGAGTATTAGAAATAATATCCACCAGTTGTCAAAATAAAAATCAAGAAGCTTCAGGTCTCAGTGAGAGCACTGTATGCAATGTATGGAAGCTTTCCCTTCTCTCAGCATCTGGTTATCTAAACGATTTAGATCACAAAGGTGTTTCAGCCACAAGCTTTTCCACTAACAGCATGTGTGAACACAGTGGAATAAAGTGGAGAGAATAAAGCTAAGGAAGACAGCTTTTCTAAAAAGCTACCCAGTCCTTCCTAGAATGTCACTACAAAACAGTCTACTGCTTCAAGTATGCAAGAAATGCAGTGCAGAGACACCAAAAATACTATGAGACAGCATTATATTACACTACTATGGCTACAGATCTTTTACAGTACCTAACATGGGGAGGTGCCATTTCACCGGAGGTACACAAGGATTAAATGCAAATAAATAATGAGATAGATTAATTTCTACAGGTGACAAGGTACTTTCTATATTACTGTTCATTTATATAACATACATACACTCACCCACAAATATATATAAAATATATATACACACATTAAAAAATGTATATACTCTCTAAAGGACTGGTTAATAGACATTCAAGGATATTGTTTCTCAATCACGCAGTGCAACTTCAGCCAGATAAAACTTCTTAAATCTGTTTATCTGAAGAAGTTTTAGGTTAATTTCCGTATGTTTCTGTAATAGTTTCACCTCTGGTTTATTATATTTCAATTTGCGCAGACATTAGTTTTTTAGAGACTGGGAGATAATAAACCACACCAGAAAAACAGTTTGTCAAGGTGGAGATTTGTTTCCACTTTTTCTTTCATACTAATCAAACCATGTTCCTCAGCTCCCTATTTTACCTTACTCCTGTTACATCAGCTCTGAGAACAGTTCATCCTAAGCTTTGCCTACAACTACCTCAAATTAAATAACTTGTCTCAAGATCATTTTACGTATGATTCTGTTTGGGTTGGTTTTTGTTATGTTTTGTTTTATTTGGTATGTGGTTTTTTGTTTGTTTGGTTTTTGGTGTGTGGCTTTTTGTTTGTTTGGTTTGTTTTTTTTCTTTCCTTTTCCATTTTCTACCACCTCTTTACTACTCTTTAATTGTATAATCGCATATGAAATAGGCTTGACAGTGCAAAAATCTCTCAAAATCCACTTGAGAATACTTTATCTAAACAGAAAATGTCTTCCTGCATTAAAGAGTTAAAAAAGATATTGATGAAAAATTAAGACTAGAACTTCAATGAAATAAGAGCTTTGCATTTTTAAAACAATAAACAAGTTAGATGGCCAATAAAAAGGTAAGTAGCAGGAACAAAAGGTTAGGTAAATAGATTCTTATTTTTTGGGGTATTCATTAATAGCGTAAATATAAGATTGGGTCAGGTCAACAGAGAGAAAACAACAGCTACAGGAGAGCAACGGAGCAGGCAGAAATCTGGAGAGGATACATCAGAAATGCCTAAAAAGATCTATATCAGATTTGAACACTGCATTTACTTATGACTGTTTTAAGGAAATCACAAATATACATAACTTACCAAAATCATAGCGATAAAAGTGCCAGCTTTCATAACGACCTCCTTGCTGCTGGTCTTCAAGACCTTTCTCTCCATATTTATCATACTTCTTCCGTAGATCTTCATCTTTAAGTACTTCATAGGCTCTATTTATTTTCAAAAAATTTTCATGTGCATTTGGATCATTCTATTAAAGGAAAACTACAATTAGTAAGCAGTTTTAATAAACTACATTGTACATATAATGCTGAGAAAATAATATTTGGAAATAATTTTATATCCCTAGTAAAGATGTCAGTTGTGATGGAAGCAGATATTACACAGTGATCTCCAAACAAACTATAGTAGACTTCCTTTCCTGAAGCCATATGTGTTTTCTTATTTCTTCATCCTCACTAAAGTACCAACAGAAATACGAAGTGAAGGTAGGAGGCTGTAACATTTTCCAGTGACCCCTCTTCTTTCAACTTTCTCCAATGGAAGGAAAAAAAAAAAGTACTCAAGAATGAATACTTACCATTTCCTCTACAATCTTTCCTACTCTCCTAGAATCCCCACTCATCCAGTTTGAAATCTCTGCTATAAAGACAGATTCATCCCTTCTGATCTTACGGTGTAGAAAGAGGACTCCTTTTTTATTTATAAAGCATTCTGGTTCTAGGTAGCTTCAGAATTAGAATGATGAAACATTTGCAGACATATTTTGAGCCCCAGTTTGGTTTCTGAGCTAATGCAATGTAACAGCAGTGAGCAAAATCTGCACCCTAACACCCTTTTAACTTCTGCTTGTGTTTCACTCAAAAGACACTTTTTCTTAAAGATGCTTATTCACCTAGATTCACATAAAATTAAATACCATTACAGAATTTGTGTAATGCCTTCATTTTCTGTATATCATATTTAATGTTGAAAATAACCTGTTGAAAAATCTTTAGTAGTATCTGCATACGTGCAACTACAGAATCTGACCCAAAATGTTACTATTTTTAAGGTATCAACACAGGGAAATCAAAACTTGCAGTTAATAACTACAACTTGGCATTTCTAATTTTGTTGAGATTTGGCATTCTCTTTGAGTTTTGTCACATTTAAATCCACTGTAAAACACTAGTGCCTCAGAGGCTTCAATGTGCTCTATGCAGGCAGGCCCTGAGCTCATAGGGAACATCACCACCTTCTGGGGCTCTGTGCAGGTGCAGTTTCACATATAATGATCCAAACCCTCGTATTTCCTGTGTATTTTGGATTACTTTAGGAACTCTTGAGGAAAAACTGATTACATTTAAATGTAAAAGTGATTTCTTTGTACTTTGGAAAATATGGTAGCACAGGCTGAGCTATTCCCAGTCTTTTCTCTCTCTAGTTACTCTAGAGCTTCTTCTTACCCTCCCTCATCATGCCTTAGCAGTCCCAGAATTTCTGCTTTGTCCTATCTGATACTTGAAGACTGATGTCTCAGAAGAGGCTGGTAGTGTCTGCCGTTCACATGAGACTTCATACTAAGCAAACAGTAAGTTTACAACAAGGTAACACGTTACAAGTGTAAGATTTCCTCTATTTACAAAAATGTAATTGACAATTAAATGATCTTGACTCTTTTTTTTTTACTACAGCAATTTAATGCAGCTCAAATTCAACACAACCACATATGACCAGTCTATCCTTTTTGTAAATTTCCTCTGCAGAAAATCTGAGCTGAACTATGTTAACAGGTGGTTACATTACTTCACAAGAGCAGAAAAACATTTTAGATAAATGAAAACCACTTTTCGTTTAAACACTAAGATCCATTAACTCAACAACTTTGACCTGTTAGAGATGTAACTTACCTGATTTTTATCAGGGTGCAACTTTAATGCCAGTTTTTTGAACGCTTGTCGTATTTCTCTACTACTTGCTTCTCTGGATACCCCAAGTAAACTATAGTAGTCCTGATCAGTGCACACAAGAACTATTACACATACTAAAACTAGCAATAAAGATCTTTTGAAATATCTAATATAATCTCCTTTGGATACTAAGGGCTCCATTACAAAGCTTTTGGAAAGTTTATAGGTTCCGATTTGAGCAGGCTTTGGGAAGAGTCTCCAGTAAATCCGCCAACGTATTTCTGATGCATATATTACAAAGCAGCCGTATTTATGATGGAACTCTTCAAAATGCTGGTTGTCCTACTTCATGTCACAAGACTTGCAAAAGTTACACCCTACAAGAAAAGGGATGAAAAAGCAATTAAGTACTTTCGCCTACTTGTTCAATAAATACGTTAGTAAAGAATCCCATTGCCAGGTTGTGCAGACTGCCCATGAACATTTAAGTTTCTTGACGGCTAATTACCTGCTTTCTGAAGACCATATAAGTGACAGACCACCTCTTTATTGTGTATACTGTGAATGAGATAATCACGCACAGCTTTACTAACACTAAATACCAGCCACTTAAAAAAAAAAAAGGCAAAAAGCGGGTTTAGTAGGGCTCACTGTTCCTTCAAACTTACTTTTAGTGTCGCAAGGGGAATTTCTCCCGAAACGCCCGTGTAGTTTAGAGCCAGCAGCCGCTCCGGGACGAGGGACCGGCTCGGCAGGGAG